TATGCCTACATGTACTATTGTATGCAATATCTACATGTACTATTGTATGCTATATTTACATGTACTATAATTGTATGCTATATATGCCTACATGTACTATTGTATGCAATATCTACATGTACTATTGTATGCTATATTTACATGTACTATAATTGTATGCTATATATGCCTACATGTACTATTGTATGCAATATCTACATGTACTATTGTATGCTATATTTACATGTACTATAATTGTATGCTATATATGCCTACATGTACTATTGTATGCAATATCTACATGTACTATTGTATGCTATATTTACATGTACTATTGTACGCTATATTTACATGTATATATTTGTATGCTATATATGCCTACATGTACTATTGTATGCAATATCTACATGTACTATTGTATGCAATATTTACATGTACTATTGTATGCTATATTTACATGTACTATTGTATGCTATATTTACATGTACTATTGTATGCTATATTTACATGTAATATTGTATGCTATATTTACATGTACTATTGTATGCTATATTTACATGTACTATTGTATGCTATATTTACATGTACTATTGTATAATATATTTACATGTACTATTGTATAATATATTTACATGTACTATTGTATGATATATTTACGTGTACTATTGTATCCATCCTTCGTGCGACTCACGCGAGACGTTCTCTTGTTTCAGGCATCCTGCTGCAGCCAGTCAACCCGACGCTGGCGACCCCACCTGTGATACCGGCGCCCTCTCTGGAGCAACCGGCCGCCTTCTCCGCCGACCAATATTTTAAAACGACGCTGACAATGCAGCAGCAGGATGTCGTCGCGACATCGGTACGCCCTCTACGGGCCCGTTATTTAATCATCTTAATTTAATTTATTTAATTTATTTATTAATTCCTCTATTAATTTTTTATTCTTTGTTTTATTTTTAATTTAACTATTTAATATCTATCAATTTAATCGTAATCTTCTCCGTTCATTTCACTTCCTGTGTAGGGGGACGTGGTATGTTTTGATCCCGGGTAGAGGGAGGCGGTGTGTCGTTGTCGTCAGCAACGTAAAGTTACTCAAGATCGTTGCCCTCGCATTGTCGTCTTCTCACGCTCTTTTGTTTTTGGCAGGCCACCGCCGCCTGTGCCGCTCACCAGGTGGCGCGGCAGGAGGAGGAGACTCTGGATGCTCAGGTGTTGATACAGCAGACGGCGACGCTGCTGGCACAGATCCAGGCCACGCTCGCCACCGACTTCCAGTCGGCCGGCGACGACCCCGTTGCCATGGCGACAGCGCCCGCCTCGTCGTCCCCCATCTTGCTTCCGGCGAGCGTGCTGATGGAGGGCGCCACCGTGCAGGAAGTCGCTGCCGCCGCGTCGACGACAGGAAGCGGTGTTGCGCTGCCGATCATCGGCGGTTTTCACGCCGCCGCCGTGGCGCCGCCTGGTGACGATTCCCTGCAGCTGGGCACCAAGACACCGCTGCAGCCAATGGCAGGTGCCGTAACGTCTCTGCAGCCAATAGCAGGTGCCGTAACATCTCTGCAGCCAATGGTGCATGCTGTAACATCTCTGCAGCCAATGGCCGATACCGTAACATCTCTGCAGCCAATGGCGGGTGCCGTAACGTTACTGCAGCCAATGGTGGGTGCTGTAACATCTCTGCAGCCAATGACAGGTGCCGAAACGTCGGTCCAGGAAGTATCGCCTGCCGGGTCGGCGCTGGGACCAATAGTGTGCGCCGTTACATCGCTGCAGCCAATAGCGGGCGGCGTTACATCCGCAAAGTGGGCGGAACCCGTCAACTCACAAGATTGTTCGTTGTGCGGACAACCAATAAAAGACGGCGTTACAGGAAGCGATTCGGCCGCTCCCGCGCAGCCAATCACGGGCGTCGACACAACTGCGGGGGGACCAATGGGAAGTGTCGTTGCATCTTCGCGGCAGTCGGCGGCGCCACTTGTCAAGACGACGTTGGAAGACGTTTGCTGGCTGCCGACGTGTAACGCGGCTATGGTGGCGCCATCTGCAGGACAGGAATTTGCGTTTCTGCTGAACGGGAATCGCACAACTGTGGATCCAGATTATCTAAGGTAAGAGAGAGAGAGAGAGCGACAGAGAGAGAGAGAGAGAGAGAGAGAGAGAGAGAGAGAGTGAGAGAGTTAGAGTAAGAGTGAGAGCGTAGAGACAGAGTTTGCCGATTGCCGTGTGAAGCGATTGAGCACAAAACCGCATAACCACATAAACAAACCGAATGCCTGGAAAAACTGCGCGTAAGGGCCAGTCGATGGAGGAAACACCGCAAAGCGTGCTTTACGGACAGCTGGCCATTCTATAGACGTAGTTTCGCCGTATAACTGCTACCGAAATAAGAAGTGCCGTCCTTTATAGACAGGTGTCTGATCTATAGACGTAATTTCATTGTGGAACTACCACCCCAAAAAGAAATTACAAGTGTCGTCTGCTAATTAATGCAAAGGTTTAACGAAGTACACCAATAATATTCTAACGTTCACTTTGATAGCGCAGGGGTCGAGGGAGCATATCAAGAAGTAGCACTTATTTTGCGCTATGCGCCCTATTGCCCTAAGGACCCTTCAATGTTCCTTTTCACAGTACAGAGGATTATGTAGAAACTGAACCCGCGCTAACTTTGACCTCCTGTAACGTCGCATCGCTTCCCTCCGCGCCCCTATTATTCCAGGACACTTCAAGGTAGTCAAAGCACAGAGGGATATGTAGAAACTCAACCCACGCTAATTTCAACCTCCTGTCCTCACACCCCTTCCCCGCTCCCTCCGTGCCACAGCCGCGCTGCTCTGCCCACTCACCATCTCAGTTTTTAGTATTTGCGTTGTAATCAGCCTCCATGAGGAGTCAGCGGATTGACAGATAAAATACAAGTCATCATCGATGGTGTGCGGGGAAAAACCTGGCGCCGGCCGAGGGAGAGAGAGAGAGAGAGAAAGAGAGAGAGGGAGAGGGAGAGAGAGCGAGAGCGAGGGGATAGCGGTCAACACAATACGAGATAGAGATAGAGAAACTGATAGGGAGAGAGGCAAAGACAGAGAGAACAGAGAGCGAAAGAGAATAGAGAGAGAGAGATACGTTAATATATCTATATAAGATAGTGGTTTAATCTGGCTGTCGACGTCATGTCTCGTACCGCGATAATTTATTGTTGCAAAAAGATTTACCCGTTTACGAATTTTTGGGCTCGCAATCAAGACACACAAGCAGCAAAATGCACATGATTTTTGACAAAATCACTGAAAAAGATCCATGTGCCCCGCCAGCGAAAGGTAGAGAGCGCTAACACACGGTGCCCCCCCGCGTCTGCGAAACATAGAGGGCGCTTACCCATGAATCCCGTCGGGTAGGTGGCGTCGGTGCGCACCTTGCCGTCGACCTTGATGAGGCGCTGCATGACGATCTTCTTCACCTCGTCTCCCGTCAGCGCGTACTTCAGCCGGTTACGCAGGAAGATGACGAGCGGCAGGCACTCGCGCAGCTTGTGGGGTCCGCAGCTCGGCTTGGGAGCCTGGCAAGAAAGCGAGAAAACAATAGAGCAGACGACTCATTATAAGGAAGAAAGGCTAAGTTAATAAGTTAAGAGAAAGGAACGAGTTAAGGAATCGACTCGTGGGGTCCGCAGCTCGGGTTGGGAGCCTGCAGAGAAAACAATACATCATTATAAGCAAAAACGTTCAAGAGACGAATGGGGAATTGACGTGTGGGGTCTGCAGCTGAGGAGCAATTTATGAATGAGTTAGGTCTTAGCTGGGCTTAGGAACCCAAGGAGGAAACAACCGATCGGACGACCCGTTACGAAGAAGAGGAAGTCGGAGTGTGGGGAATCAGCATGTGCAGCTTAGGAGGTCTAAGGAGGAAGAAAGTCGAGGGTGGGGTGGTGGTGGGAAATCGGGTTGTGGGGTCCGGAGCTCGGCTAGGGAGCCTGGCGAGTAAACGACCGATCACACGACCCGTTACGAGAAAGTTCGATTCGTTCAATGCGAGTAACGTAATGGAATGCAAGCCTGTTCAGATTATAAATGTTTTATCCGCAGTTGTAAATCGGAGCCCAATGCTATCATCACTACAAATCTTGCATTCGTACGAACAAATAATGGTTCTGTATTTATTCTTCTCTCAATAATTTAAATACTTTCCCTAATCGTAAGGTCGTAACCCCAACCGTAAAGTCAAAACAATCATTCAGCATAGGTGAATCGAGAAATGCAGTACCACATCCACATAGTTGATCTTCGTCAAACACACGAACGAAAGAAGCACACGACGGGAAGGACACCGATACTTACAAAACAACCAGTCATCTTATCCAACATCCAGTGTCTGGGCGCATTCAAGCGCTTCAAATGTTTCTTCGGACCTCTCGCCTGAAAAGGAGCAACCACGAGCGAATAAATACCACTCCAGCCGACATGTCGTTTTACGTGTGCAGTGGTTAACCACCGACAAAACTTAGAAGATTAAACACTAGAGCAGTTAAACACCACTACAGTCGACACATTTTAGATTTTAACCTCATAAATATTAGTGTTCAAAGTTCAAGGAACTAATACTAGTATTAGTATTATTAAAAAGTTAAAAACTGCAAAATTTTATCCACACAACCACCGTCAAACACCTACTACTACTACTACTACTAGTAGTAGTACTAGTACTACTACGAGCGTTACTACGTTATTGTCCTCCCTCTGGGTAATGCTGATTGTATCATTGCGTGTGATAGTCAGCGACCGTAGATAGGAGAAATGCTTTCGGCAACAGATTGACCACAGAGAGTTATTCATGAACCAACCACGGCTTCGAAAGTGCCAGCATGTATTAACTATTGATTTAATATAAGGTATAAAACACAAATCTAATGTCGTTAATGGATGATTAATGCTTGTCGTACCAGTTCGACATACCATGTAGATGCTTGCGCGATTCACAACACCATGCTTTATCGGAAATATTATCAGGAACTATCGGCAATGAAATTACATGTATGTATCTACCAAACACACTCCCGTATGGTTGCAAGAGATGTGGTTTATTTTTATGCGTAGAAGGAAATACCGGCATACAACGGCGTACAACTATAAATAACACATTCCCCTTTACATTAAAGGACATAAACGGATTGGGAATTGCTTTTACGATACGGGATTAAAGCCGATTTCTCACAATTCCAATCCGAACCTACCATTTTGGCTGTGTTGAGGGTAAAAGGAAAGTACACCGCACGTGGCGACTAGACTCCACATGATTGGTCCGCGCGGTTAGGATAATAACTACAAAATTTAATATTTTATTATTTCTTTTTTGAAAAATATTTAGAAATAATTTTATTATGAAAGAACACGTATTTTAGACATAATTTACTATATAAAGTAAATAATAACAGTACCGGGCAGATCGGAGAGAAAAGAGGATTAGACTGGCACACGGTCGCCTAAACCAAGGCAATCGACACAGGTCTAGCATATATGGTACCCGTCTATAAGTTCTCAGACGAGAAAGTTGGAAACAGAGAACATGGAGGGAGAAGTGAGCGATTCTTACCAAGGTTACGCTGAGAATTCTGGCGAAACCAGCGTCAAAACGGAACCCATGTATTTCCATCACTTCCCGGACGACGCAGAAGAGCTCGGTGACGAAGGTTTCAGCGAGCACGTGTACGATCGAATTCCCGTCTTCATCGAATCCGACCGAGAAGTCGGAATTTCTACGAAAGGATTAGATTCGGAGAAATCCGCATTCAGCGCATTTCGCGATGCGGATTTGGATCCGAACGGAGAAAACACGGGCAGTACGGACGACCTGACCAATGACGGAGTCGATAACGATGACCAGGGGTAAGATTTCATCTAACGGGAGACCACGAAACCACTTTCACGTCCCCGTATAATTGAATAATATTAACACACTCGAAAAATTTCGCGTTCGCGGTAGGCCCCTACTTAGTTGAGTAGTTCATTCACGACAACAATAACAATACTCAATAGTCAATACGTTTTATAATATATGGAAACCCTGAAACGACATCCGACTTTTTGAGTTTCCGAGTTTCCGAGTTTCTCAGTTTCCGAGTTGCTAAGTTTCTTTTGCACGTACACAAACACTTGAAGCAGAGACAATAGAACAGTAATAATAGAACATATATAAAATATGTATACAATAAAATATATGAAAGGGCATGCGCAGATGAAACTCAGAAACTTGGAAAAGAAACTCGGAAACTCAGAAACTCGGAAACTCAAAAAGTCGTATGTCGTTTCAGGGCTGAAGCGCCTGAAGCAGAGACAATAGAACACTAATATTAATAATAGAACACATATAAAATATGGATACAATAAAATATATGAAAAGGCACGCACAGATGAAACTCAGAAACTCCGAAATTCGGAAACTCAGAAACTCGGATGTCGTTTCAGTGCTTCCATAATAATATGCTTTGGCTATGGGTACGGCAGCCGTATCTTAATGTCTCGAGGCTGGAGGTACGGCAGTCCATTCGCTTTCATACTTAACGAGACAAAGATGGCGGCGGGGGGCGCCAGATTTCGAAATAACGCCTTGGGAAATAAATTCACGATTTGAGAGTTTAGATGAGCTAGAACCCTAACCCTAACCCTAACCCTAACCCTAACCCTAATGCCAAAAAGGGGCTTCAACGAACGACGGCTGCTGTACCTCCAGCCACTGCGTTATAGTATTACCAGTCTGCCATGCATTGTTTACTAGTAGTAGTACTACGCATTACACAAACGATAGATAGATGTTTACTGCATACAGGGTTCGACACTAACGCTAATCCGTTAGTCCGAGACTAGTAAAAAATCAGAAGGACTAGTAGATTCCCATAGCAGTTAGTCCGGCGGGACTAGTTATATTTTCCCCGTGCCTCACCGTCCCAATTTCCCATCGATTTTACCGGCGGCAGCGTCTCTCATCCAAGATCCAAAGAGCTATATATAACTCGTCCAAATTAACAAGTTTTCCCTGTTAGACGCGCTAGTCCAAGTAGAGTAGACGCTAGCACGCTCTGCACGCTCCAAACATGCTAGACCCTACGGCAGTGCAAACATTGTTAAACAATGGGGTCTCGAAACCACCCAGTCTACCGATTGATCGCTTGACAGTTACTGTAGCTGTTGACATAGAACAAACGGTCTGATTGTAGGAATGACACAACTAATCAGTTATAGGCTCTCATAAGGAGGTATTCACATCGCAACCACATCGCATGCGTGTGTTACTTGAAGCAGTCGATACCAATAGTAGTGAAGCTAATAGTAGGTACATCCTTATCCAATAGTATAATTTACTAACATCAAGGTTGTTATGTGAAAGTATTTGGACGGCGCTCCCCTCCAACTCCCAAACGTAAATCGCAGGAGGAGAAATTAGATGGCCAGCGTGTCTATGATAAGACGAAAAGGATGCGTGCGTTCCAGCCAGCGTGGAAATCGTCATACCCGTGGCTAGAGTATGACCCAGCCAAGGGTATCACTTAATGATATCACAATGTAATACAACATTAATATTGCAATGATATCACAATGTAATTAGAGATTCATACAGTCATGCCATGCCTACTGCTACAGCATTATCATAGCATGGCCACTCCTAGACAGCAGTATATCATGCCATGTCTACTGCTACAGCGGTATATCATGCCATGCCTACTGCTATAGCGGTATATCATGCCATGCCTACAGTTACGGCATTATGATTATATCATAGCATGGCCACTCCTAGACAGCACTATGTAATAGCATACCCACTATATCACAGCATGCCTATTGCTACAGCTCTATTATTGCACTAGACGAGGTAAGGGCGTGTTATCACACCTGTTATGCACTGTGCAGGGGTAGAAATTAACTTTTGAACAAGGGAGTCCAACTCAAATGTCCCTAAAAAAAGAAGTCAAGGGTCCCTACCCTCAAAAAGAGGGAGTCCGCAGCAAAATGAGGGAGTCCGCAGTCTGAGGTTCAAAATTAAAGATATTAACAATAACGCATGTGCTTATTTGTAAGATTCATGCGGTTGCACGTCTGCCAAATTTTCTTTGGACATTAGCTAAAAAAATACACTAATACCGCGAGGCCGTGCTCCGGAACGAACTAGTTAGTATAGCAGAATTTCCAGGGAGTCGCACGGACTCCTGCATATGTCAAATCAGGGAGTCCAACAGTAAATCAGGGAGTATTTGACTCCGGACTCCCGTTAATTTCGCACCCTGCTCTTGGTATACACACATATCTATTGCTACAGCTCTATCTATTATTGCACTAGACGAGGTAAAGGCGTGTTATCACATCTGTCTTGAACTGTGTGATGTGATGTGTCTATCTATCTCTGTCATCGCACGGCCGCACCATACATACTACACACATGCATATCACAAACAGCTGGGGGGAAAAACCTTCACAATGGTGGAAAACGAAGAGAGGAAAAGGCGATACACAATACCCATGCACGCACGCACATGCTCCAAGCATAAAATCCCACAAACGCTCTAAGCATATAATCTTGGTAATATAATAATTTTAACAGCATATACATATCGATATGAAAGATATCACTGCGCACACGGATCGAGGGATTGTGGGACGGAGAGAGCGACGAATCGCGGGACGGAGAGAGCGACGGAGCGCGGGATGGATAGAGTGATGGAATACACATTTGATAATCAGTCGACCACATCTATGAATGCACCGTACTCTATATATCTACGAATGCACCGCTTTACCTAATACTGTATCATAAATTTTCCACTAATGTATTATATTTCATCTGTTAACGTATCATAGATTACTCGGCGATGTACTTACTATAAATTCATTTGTTAACGTACCATATCCATTTATGTAGAATATTTTTGATCTATCATCCCACACGTAGCAAATCAAATTTATCCGTACCTTATACGTTCCACACTTACGCACATAACAATATACGATACATTCCATAACAATGTACTGCACATTACGTAACAATGTATCGTACATTGCGTAACAATGCCCAGTACATTTCGTAACAATGTCCAGTACATTACTTGACAATGTACTGTACATTGCGTAACAATGTACCGTACATTCCATAACAATGTACTGCACATTCCATAACAATGTATCGTACATTGCGTAACAATGCCCAGTACATTTCGTAACAATGTCCAGTACATTACTTGACAATGTACCGCACATTGCGTAACAATGTACAGTACATTGCATAACAATGTACTGCACATTACGTAGCAATGTACTGTACATTGCATAGCAATGTACTGTACATTTCGTAACAATGTACCACCCACCGTACAATGGGGCGATGTATGTGTTAACAATGTTATAACCTTGCATTCTATGGTATACAACCTGCATCCCGTGTCATATTCACTCCACTATATACAGACATCGAGTGAAGGCAATTAAGTCACTTTTCAAAAATCTAAATTTTAAAATACATTCGTCCGCACCTTTCGAAAACTACATAGAGAGATCTTTTGCGTCATACACACGCACGCACGTATGCGCGCACGCACACATAAACACACCCAAACTCACACCGCACGCAAACACACGCACACGCACATAAACACATAAACACACCCAAACTCACACCGCACGCACGCACGCACGCACACACACACGCACATAAACACACATAAACACACCCAAACTCACACTGCACGCACGCACGTACATAAACGCACATAAACACACAAAAACACACATAAACTCACCCAAACTCACACTGCACGCACGCACGCACACACACACGCACATAAACACACATAAACACACCCAAACTCACACCGCACACACACACGCAAACACACACACACGCACATAAACACACATAAACACACCCAAACTCACACCGCACACACACACACACACAAACGCACACCGCACGCACACACACATAAACACACCCAAACTCACACTGCACGCACACACACACACACACGCACACACACACTTCATTTCTATCAAATTAACTACGCTCACCACAGAAACGTTGAGATGACGGTTTGCTCAATCGAACGAATGTTTGGACGTAATCGCCTCTCCGAGGCTGTTCGAGGGAGACCTCTCTACATTTCGTTTAGACTATTCTATTCTAATATTCATTTCTAAAATAAATTACGCTTAGCACCCCCAAAAATACATCGCTACTGAAAAGTATCAATCACAGTAATCGATTATTACAATAATC